ATTTTTTTTTTTGAAATCACAAAAACAAACGGACAGTCTCCAAAAACGCTGCCGTGATTACTGCCTCTCCAAAGACCCAGCCCCCTCCTCTGTCCCGCCGGCTCTTCTGAGGGATGAAGACCAGGCTGGTGGGGGGCAGGCTCTCCCGGTCTGGACACGGTGTTGCCCTAGGCCCCGCGGCTCAGGTTTCCTGAGGATAGGCAGCCCCTGAGCCAGGCTGTTCCTGCTCTCTCATGAACTCCATGTGCCTGTGCAGCTGGGTGGAGCTGGCCTAGGAAAGAGAGGGCCGCGTCTTCTTGGGCGGAGGAGGAGGAGGAGGAAACGGGGCCTTTCTGATGGCTCAGAGCATGGCTTCACAAAGAGCCGCGCGGCACGAGCTGGCCGCCTTACCGCCTTAACATGAAGCTCCAGTCCCCATGCAGGACGCTTCCTCAAGAACTGAGTCAGGACTGAGTCTGCGGTGGAGCTGTAGCTGAGTAACCCAGACTCTACTTCCTAGCTTGTCAAAAGTACTGCATAGCGTACGTAAACTTTCTGCTTTAAACTTTCTACTATTGTTCTATACATTTAATATTAACATGGTATTCACTACTTACTGTACTGTCTATAATAATAAAAATAATTGCTTACACTTATATATTTACAGGTAATGGGGAGTCCCCTCCACCACTATAATGAAATGTGCACTCCTCTATAGAATACAAGTTTACATTGACAAAGCCTGGCTTTTTATGTAAATTTAGCTAATTCCACTTTGGATTTGTTTTCAAAACGGAAGCTCCCAGGGTGCCAGACCCTTAACCTATTCTAGGCTATTAATCTGATCAATTAAGTTAATTTCTTTAAGATGTGATCAGATCATAATACAGCCCCCAAAACACACCATTATATGAAGAAAAAATACATAGTGTACATAGGCTTTCTGGATGTTCTTACAATTGCAATCAACAGTCAGTGACAACTGATCCTATGCCTTTATCATAGCTATAGAAGCTCTTCATTTCACATGTCGTCAACTGTATGAAACGCACAGAATACAAACTCCCAGCCTCATCACCTGCCCTGCC